CCGCGAGCTGTTCAAAGCTCCACCTACGTTCGTTCGGTCTTCATCCAGTCCCTCGGTTCCTCAGTGCTCCATCTCTAGTTCTCCGCCTAGCTTCCTTCAGTTGCATTACTTGTTCCCATTTCAGTTTCGCTCGTATATATCCAGTTAACCACACATCGTCACCATATTACATATTATTGTTGTACTGTTGTTATCGCTATAAACTGTTATAACCCAAACTCAAAGTTGTCCACGGCAGTTACGAAAAAAGTCCCGCGTGGTGAATTCATACAAAGTCGAACATTCCACGTACAGTTGGCGGACAAAAGACAAATCCGACCTACGCTCTAATACACTGGCCAACTAACACAAATCCTGTACCTCGAGCCAAGCTATGTAGCCATCCGATGTCGAAAAACTAGCACAAATGTTGTCTGTTAGAATAAAAACACCGACTTAATACGTAAGTTTATGCAGTTCATTGTGCAAGCCAAATGTACATTCCATTTGGGACGGTTAATGGAGCCGGATACATGGCGTATCCCTCAGGGATTGTCAACGCCGAACGTGTTATCCCTTATTCTTTATATCGACTTCTAGACAATATTAACTTGCCATAATCAATTCGCCATAGCTTGAAAACTTGTGATTGGTTTCAAAAAATGTGGCTTATTATATATTCCGCTTAGTTAAAAGAAATCTAGGTTCAATATTTCCTTAGATTGTTAAGCTTTTTAAAAACATCTGAGTCCTTTCAATGATAATTCAACTACGGGATGTACCTCCGTGCAGCTTTGCCTTGTGCAACCTTGAGTGGGATCTCGTGGCTGTCGAATGCAATACAGCTTCAGTAGCATTTCAAGAAACCGTCACGAAAAAGATTGTTTATGTCTCATAAAAAGAGCTAAGGGCAGAACATTTCACAACGACGATTTGTTTCTATTCGAGAGTTTAATGGGATTTCCATCCTTCATGAACTTTTCCTGCTGCCAAATTTAGCCCTCTGATGATTTTTTGTTTTACTTTTACTTACATTCTATATTTTAGCACATATCAAATTCTATGAGTTCCCAGGATCGACTTTCTATTAACCTTGGCATTGGAATATGAATGCGTCGTTTTCTTGTTCAGCAATCGCGAGGTTTTTAAACAGCATACATTTACTTCCATAAAAAACACAATACAATACAACGCTAGCTGTATCGCCTTCTTCAGAGCCTAGAAGGGCATACTGATATACAATCTACTAGGCCAATAACACTTACAAAAAGACGAAAAACCATGGTAATTACATGATCAACAGCTTCTCGAAAAACCCACCGCTTTTTTCATGACTTCCAATGGGGAAGTTTAGAACAGCTGATTATAGTCGCATACGGTTGATGACTGCACCATCCCGCATCAGAAATAGATGCGGACATACGGGGTTAGAGCTATTAATTGTAGGCTTTCTGGCATTTATCCGAAAAGCCTCAAGAAGTTTTCGCGCTGGTGTTTCAGTATAGAATAACCTGGTTCTTAAGCCTGATACTTACCCAGTTGCTTAACCACATTCCAGCTCACCTCACAAACACCCAAATGTTCCTAGAACGTCTACGTAACGCGTCTCCTAATAACGCGTATGTGATGGAATCTTTCGACGTTACCGCGCTGTACACCAACGTGTCGAATGACTCCGCAATGCAAGCCATCTTCGAACTTCTTGTTGAACATGAAGGACGAATTAACATGCATGGCTTGTCCATCCAGGAGCTAATGGCTCTCTTAAAGAAGTGCCTAAACTGCTTTTTTTTCAGATGGTCTAGGAAATACTTTGCGCAAAAAAAGAGGGTCGGCAATGGAACAGCGACTGGCATCAAACCTTGCCATTGTGTTTATGTCTAAGATAGAAGCCTCTGTTCTCGATCTCTGGCCACTACTCTACTGCAGATATGTAGATGATTGTTTTGTCGTCTCCTCTACGCAGGAGGAGATGGACAAATGCTTTGAATTATTGAACAAGCAGTCTGAGTATATAAAGTTCACCCGAGAGAAACCGAGAAGAAACTGCCTTCCGTTTTTGAACGTTTAAATAAGCCTATCAAGTAGCGGTTACCTGACAAAGTGATACCGAAAGCCAAGTAACAAGAACATCCTCGTTCATTTCCTTTCTTCCCACCCTTCACACACAAAGAGGGCGATTGTGAGAAACATGTTTCGAACACCCAGTGCACTACCAGGTAACTAAAGGAAGAGTCGCGCGACTAGTTTAAAACCATCAGTTATCTCTCAACTAAAAGTTGACTTACCAACATGCCCCGTCTTGTACTTACTTATAAAAACTCATAAGTTAGTATCCAGCGATGATCTTGCGTCTACCGATCCATCACTGTTTAAGGTTAGACCTATCATCAGCTGCGTAGACGGGCCAACGGACAGGATAACATGGTTTTTAACCCTAATATTTAACCAGTTGTTGAAACACATTCCAGCCCATCTTACGAATACCCAGATGTTTCTGGATCGTCTACGTACTGCGCAGCCCAACAGCGCGTGCGTGATGGAGTCCTTCGACGTTACCGCCCTTTATACAAACGTGTCGAATGACTCCGCAATGCAAGCCATATTCGAACTCCTTACAAAACACGAAGGAGAAATAAACATGTATGGCTTCAAGATAGAGCAGTTGATGGCACTCTTAAAAGAATGCTTGAGCTGCTCAATCTTCAGATGGTCCGGAAAGTACTACGCTCAAATAAGAGGGTTGGCAATGGGACAACGACTGGCTCCAAGCCTTGCCATTGCATTTATGTCTAAAGTGGAAGCACCGGTGACTGATCTCGGGCCGCTACTCTACTGTAGGTATGTAGACGACTGCTTTGTCCTTTGCTCAACACAGGAGGAAATGGACAAATGCTTTGAGTTGTTAAACACACAGTCAGAGTACATCAAGTTCACCCGAGAAAAACCGAAAGAAAAATGGCTTCCATTTCTGAACGTGCAAATTCACCTGTCGGAGAATGGCTACATTACAAAATGGTACCGAAAGCCAAGTAGTAAAAACATTTTGGTTCATTACCTCTCCTCTCACCCCTCTCACACGAAAAGGGCGCTTATAAGAAACATGTTTCGAACGGCAACCAACGTGTGTACGGGAAGAGAACAGAGAGAGGAGTCCCGAAACTTGGCACGGCAAATAGCCATTTCTAATGGCTACGAAACTGTAGCTCAGGATAGGTGTAGGGGAAATCCTAGGCCTCCAGACAACAACTCTAGCGATAGAAGGGTCCCGTTTATCCTACCCTTTATCTCAAATGATATAAGTACAGCTATAAAACGCTGCTTAAGAAGGGCGGGTTTAGAGAATTCGGTACGCGTAGTTGAAATACCACCGAGTAATCTTAAGCGCCAGCTAGTTCGAAACCGCCTATATGACCGTCTATGTGCAACTCAAAACTGCATAATTTGCCCCAGTGGTAGAGACGGTGATTGCATGAGCTCGGGTATAGTTTATCTGATCTCCTGTAAGACGTGCGGTGACGAATACATTGGCGAAACGGGCAGACCCCTCTGTGTCCGCATAAAAGAACACCTANCCTAGCCGGCAAAAATAGACCAAATACCCCGCTAGGCACGCATAGGACCCAGAGACATAACGGGGAGGACTTTGAAGTATGTGTCACGACCCTTGCACGCGAATCAAGAACACAGGCGCGAAAAACTCTCGAGGCACTCTGGATTAATTCCAGAAATCCGAAAATGAACCGCAGGGAAGAATGCCTCATTATCACGCGTGATGTAGGGCAGTATATAAGACTGCTATTCTGATGAGTGGGGTACATTATACTTCCATGTGATTTCTGTGCGGTTGGTCTCTACGTGACATACTTAGTGGAGACCTCATAGAAAGCGGTGAGTGTGCAAAGCTGTGTTCAATGTGATTGAAATCTTGGTTTAGAGTTTCTTTGTTTGGTTATGGAGGCGTCTGGCCAAGTAGATTGCTGTCAACTTGACCTTTCCAGGCTCTGAGGAAGGCGAAATCCGCCGAAACGTCAGCTCATTTGTGAATAAAGAATAATAACACCTCGCGTTTGCTCAACAAAAATACGAAGAATTACTTGATCAATGCCGAGGTTAATAGAAAGTCGGTCGTGGGAGTTACTCTTAGAGGCTTTTTGGATCAATGCTAAAAACCCTACAATGAATAGCAGGGACGAATGCCCGGAGATCATACGCAACCTGATCCCGTACGTTCGCATCGATTTTTGATTTGGGATGGTGCAGTCGTCAACCACATGCGACTATAATCAGCTGTTCTAAACCTCCTCATTGGAAGTCACGAAAAAGCGGTGAGTTTCTCGAGAAGCTGTTGTTTATGTAATTACCGGAGAGTTCTTCGTCTTTGTGTAAGTGTTATTGAAGCGTTTGGCCTAGTAGATTGTATATCAGTATACCCTTCCAGGCTCTGAAGAAGGCGATACTGCCGAAACGTCAGCTAGCGTTGTATTGTATTGTGTTTTTCTATGGAAATAAATGTATGCTGTTTAAGAAATTCCATGAATAAACCGTTTCTCGGATGGTATGCTCACAAGCAAGTGACTAGTGAGTAGCCTAAGAGGAGATTTCCTATTAATCCGAGTAGCGACTACCGCGTCCATCACATCGCTACCCAATGGAACAATGATGAAGAACAAATCGATTTGAAGTTTGTGACAACTTCCTAGTCAACAAATACCTTGTAAAATGGCGATAATAATGAGTTCTTTAAACATCAAATTAATTTCCTTAGTTAACCACCACAAAACAGAAATAGCAAGGACGAATATGACAGTGACAATATCACAGATATAACAGAATTTAAGTTAAAACCTAATATGATAAAATCTCATCTTCTATTTTAAAGAAGTCCCTATGGACCAAAATAAAACGTTAAAATTCCAGATAAAACTTCAATATATCCCTAACTTCAGAAGTCTGTCAACAAACGTTCGAATGAAAACTACGGCACAAAAGGATCATATTAGTAAAATTCAAAAACGAGCCTATAAAAGGTTCAAATCCCTTAACAGCAGTTCGACTTGTAGCTTTGTATCCACAGGATCTACTACGGTATGACCAATAGTGCGCGGATCTGAGAAGATCGCATGGTCATTTCCACCCTAAAATGAATGTGTTAGAACAAGCTGCGCCTTTCGCCTTTCAAATATTACTTTCAGTTATGTTATACATATACACTACATTAGTGACTTTCCAGCGAGAAAAATAATAGCGGTAACAAGTCATAAACAGCTAATAGGTCAACATCTCCCTGAGGAAATGCACAAGGCACTCGACTCCATTAAGCATCCTGATGAAGGATAAATGTATATTTGATCTAAACAATGACCTAAGGGTGCATACCAATGTATAAAGTTAATCTTTTGTCCACTCAGACAGGTCTGATAGAAGTTTGCTGACTCCAGATGATTGCGTAGCTTGGTTATCAGGAGCGAAAGAACCCAAACAACTAGCAAGTGTATAACGCAGGATAAAGAGGAAATCTAATCATTACCCTACACCTGTATTTAACCAGTACGGGTAATATAATAATGTTATGTGACGGACTGTTTAGGACAACATGAACCATACATGGCTCTTCTTCTTTCTGTCGTCATCGTACAAACTTGTCTGCGACACTTTCAGTATTCAGTCGATTGTTTGGCGTTGCGTGAATTAGGGCAGTAAACCTGAGTAGTTAGTGATATAACCCATTAGGAAGCAAGATGCTCGTTCCACACCCTCTCTAACGCTCTCCTCCAATCTCCGTGGAAACGCCTTAGCTAGCTATCTCCCAAATCACCTATACCATCCGTCGTCCGGTTGACCGTCGAGTGAGTCGAGCGGGCGCCATTGAAACTTTCATTATTCCCTGCCTTCGAAAGTTCGGCATACAAAACGGCATACTTCACCTTTGACCGTTGACGCAGCTCAGAGTTCCGGATCCCTTCCCTAACTCGTGTGACGAGGGATGCTCCCAGCACCGTCCTTTCAAATGTGCGTTCAATAACGCAGAGTGACAGAGTGATCTTTTGTCGCGCTTACGTAACCGTCAAGTTTCTGACGAGCACATTAGGTCAGCAAGAATCATAGAGGCGAAAACACTGGCAAGGAGTTAGGTTTTCCTTGTCCACTTCGCCACATCTTCGATGCTTTTGAAAGCTCCCCAAACCCCTCGTTTCTTCTGCTCAGCTCTGGAGTTAAGTTCTTCATCATGTTGACTTCCACAGCTAGAATAACCCAGCTGGAGAATTCGGAGGTATTAAATCCGTTGAACGTGAATGTGGCATGCGTAACCCAATCCGCACGTCATGAACATCGTTTCTGTGAGACTTCGCCTAAGACTATACGCTTTATCAAAGTCGGTAAGCATACGCTCCACTTGGATAATGGTTGGTGTTATAAGAACGATGTCATCAGCAAAGTAAAGATGGTGTAATTGCAAACCAGCGATTTTCACTCCCACGACGCTCACTCCAGTGTTTGCACGACGTTCTCGAGGATGGAGGCAGACAATTTTGGTGAATTGGTATCGCCTTACCTAACTCCTCTTTTGACGTTGATGTTACTGTTATTGTAGCATGGTGATATCTTGGCAGTGAAATTTTTATACAGATCACGAAGAATCTTTATATTCTCGGTAGGGATTTCTCTGACTATCAAAGGCTTCCGTGACTGCTTCTATCTCAATTAAGCCAATAGGCTTCTTTAATTTGATGAAAGTGAGACAGAGTGGTCTTTTGTATCTCGCGATACTTCAATGAGCCGTATTAACGGGTGGATGTGGTCAATCGTACTAAACCCTTCTCGAAACCCTGCTTGCTCACATGGCTGTCTTTCGTCTAGTGTTCTGTCAATCTTGTTTAGAATGACTCGAATGAAAAGTTTGTAGATGACGGACAGTAAACAGATTGGCCGATGGTTGCCGATATCGTGAAGGTCACCATTCTTGAACAATAGCACGGTTTTGCTTGTCTTCCACAGAGTGGAGACCTTGCATTGAGACGTGTGAAGAGCCGAGCCAGTGTGTTTAATGAGGAGTGGAGGAAGGTTCATCAAGTGTTCAGATTTCATCCCGCCCGGACCTGGTGCTGTTCGATTTTTCACCGACGAAATAGCATGTCCGCTTTCGGAACGGAGAACCGGTGGTACGAAATATCCATGCTTAGGGCAGGAGGATGTGGCTATTGATAAGATCCGAGTAGTAATCGTGAATGGTTTTCTGCATAGTCTTTCTGGACGTTGTAACTGTTCCGTCTGAGCGTCGGAGTGCAATCATCTTGGTTTTGAAATTGGCAAACCTTCAATGGGTTTGCGAGTGCTTTTCCCAGTCTCTACAGCTTCGACCATAACTGCTGCTCTTCTCTCTTTATGATCTCCTTTCATGGTCCGTCTGCATTGTTTTGCAAGTTCGGATGTGAGTTGGCAGTTGACCGTTGGGAAAACAACGACATTTATGGTACTCTCCACTAGCAAACTCCCACGTCCAGCGTTGAGGATGGGGAATGTGGAATTGCGAGTTACCATGATTGGTCTTGGTCGTCAGGATAAACTCATATAGCGGCTCACCCTGCTGACTGCATTCTAATCCGTGGGTCCCAATATGACGTACTTCAGACGTTCTTCTTGGTTCAAACTTAGCGTTAAAATCTCCAGTGATACCCTTGAATAATGTATGATCATCTTGTAGAACTCCCCCAAATCCATATAGAACGCTCTGACTTCCTCATCGTTATATCTTGATGTTGGTGCTCAGATGACGACGATTGTGAAACCCAGTATTGATCCACATCTTTTTAAACGTAGACGTTCGATTCGGGTCGTTAGTTGTTCGAATAAATCGATGTTTATGGCCAAATTCGTGCTGACGAGAACACCGACTCCGCCCACTCCTCTATTGTCGCATGTTCCGAGGAACAATTCTTCCTCGATGTCGTAAACGGCGTTGAGTGGGTGAGATCTTCTTGTCTTAGAGAGCCCGATAAGGTTGTACCTTGTCCTTCTTAATGCAAGACCAAGCCTTTTAACGAGGACTCAGGTCCAATTGTGCATGCATTGTAAATACAGATCGTCACCTTAGTCCTTTGCGAATCAGATAGCATAAAATGACCTTGAGATTTTAGCAGCTCTCCGTACTCGTCTTACCATACGTTGCCGAATCTAGGGACCTTTTGACCACAAGGAAATAACGCCCGTTTATTTTATTGTTTAGTTCTTGTTACCCATGCACAGTTTCTTGAGCTCTGAACTCGGGCGTTCGGTATATTCACAGTAGCTTGCCAGTCTCTCCCAGGGTAGACATGGAGCTTATTTGTTGGAAGCGACTTCTAACTGCCTCCCATTTACTCCCGTCACTTGATTGCAAGCTTTTGGTCTGACTTGTAGAATACAATCCACATAAACGAGAAAACACCAATGCAGGCATGTATGAACGCTTCTTCGTAAAAACGGAAGGCATGTGCCAAGTCGTCGCAGCAGAGAGGGAGTCCATCCCTTGAATCCATCTGCGTCTCGGGGAAGTAAAGCTTCGTTTTGTTCCACGATTTGTTCCACCTACGCCATCTGTGGACAAGTAACATTGTTTAGCGACTAACCTCCATGAGATCGCTCTGAGGATGATCCGTGGATTTACCAATCTCCCAAACAGCAAGAAAGATCGACTCAATCAGCATTCTACTACATTCATAAAGAAGACGAAATCTTAGAGCAGCAGCCAAAACAAGACGCGAAATGTTCGAAGGCTACTGTGGACGATGAATGTGGGGAAAATGAATCGTGTGGAAAGGGTAGAGTGATCCGCACAGCAGCTGGTATGAACGGTCATATATAGAAAAAATCGGTATCCTCCCCAAAAAGTGGTTCAGAAAAAGGTAAAACAACGGTCTCGGTCAGTGTGGTGGATATAGCACGTGGTCCACGGAAGCTGGAGTCGCGGATATGAAAGCCAAGTGAGGTTGCTCATATCTCCGTAATTTTGTGGTTGTATTTCACATAGCATCCTACCAAGGGAAAAGAAAAGTCAGTAAATAAAAGCTAAGACATTCTATCCATTACAATTCAGCACCCAGAGAAGTTATGACTTTGCTCTTTCCATTTGTGTTATGGCACAAAAACTTACTGGCATTGTTTTGTCACCGAAAAAGTGTATACTACTAAAGTCCTTTTCGACGTATTGTAGGCAGTAAGTCTTATCCCAACCAACTGGATACACATCGACACTTATTTGACCCCCTAAAAATAATGTTCAGTTTAGCAATAAATTTATTTTTAACTCATTCATATAGAAGACTTTGTGGTTAGGTTCACTAAATCGAAAAATATGCTTGCTTATATGTGACATAAGAACCTATCACAAAGCACAGCCCATATCCTGCAAAGTTCTTCTCCAGTGCACTGACGAATTTTTCACGAATTTTATGCTCCCTATCATAGACAACGAACTGATCACGTTCCGTTTGAGAACAACTGCGGCCGATCGGTGAGAGATTAATCATGCCCTACAATAACTCTTTAATATTTAACACTAGATGCTAAACGATAGAAAAAGGGCAGTGTTAGTAGACCAACCTTTCGGAATTCAACAAAATTTCCTCGTTTGATTGGTAGGGTAATTTCGGAAAAATACTTCAAAGTGAAATTAATCAGCGTTTGCAACCTCTCTTCGCCGATGTGGTCTTGGATAGCCTCAATTGTGTTCTCTCTAGTAGCATTCGTGAATTTCTTTTGTACTTCGAGATTCAACTCACTTTGGATGGATACCGCTCTTTCCCTTTGAATCCCACAAGTCCATTCTCCGAGAATACGTAATCGAATTGCGACAACACTGAAAAGTCTTGTCTTCTCTTTTGCACTAACGCTTATATGCTCTTACGTGTATGAAGGAGTAAACTAAGTGTATAGGAAAGTCTATAGGTTGTTATTTTGAACACATACTGGTAAGAAACCTCACATTCATTTTCGCTGCCAGCCAACTGCTCAATGATTTTGCTGAGATCTGACCCGCCAACAATTGCCAGTGACACACATTTCCTAATGTCTGCGAGAAATTGCTTGATATCGTTATGCATCTTCTTGAAAAATTAATAATGATGTAACCACAATGATGCTGACATGGATCGAACACGCTATTACCCTTTCTGGGGTATAACGTTTTCACCACCATACCATGCGGGTTCCTCATCTCGCCTTTCCCCAATCAGTTTTCTATCCAACACTGCCATCAGCAATAATGACGTAATTCTTTTTAGAATTCTAGAGACAGCTCCTCCTTACAAAAAAAGAAAAAAATTATGCACCTGTCGAGCTGGTGTCAATGTTCCATCGACGTCGAATATAAGCAAAGTTCTAGTCATATCTTCGAGGAATTTAGAAGAACGCTCTAGAAAACTCATATATTAAAAGAATGGAAGAAAATAATAAAGAAGCTCATAACAGTGTTCAAAGACACTCGAAAACAAAAAATCCAAGACTTTCGAACGATTCTCGCTTGGTTGCTTCAAAGACAAAGCCTCTCACTTGTGACTATTTTCACATAACGTAGAACAGAATAGTATAGAGAACAATTGTTCTCCTACATTTGGTAAATTAGCTTAGTGTAACATACGTCTTGAAACGTACGCAATGAAAAGCATGGCTTCCTAATTGATTGGTCTCTACATATTCATAAAACAATATTTGAAGAATTCCTGAAAAATCAGTACACGTTGATTGATATCTATGTCATTCAAACTTGGATCACTTGGTACAAGTATGCTTCCTCAACTATGGGTCATCTTCCTCACTTTATCAGTGGTTAGCGATGCAGTCGATCCGGATGCAAAAGGCGCCAGTTCGATCTCTTCTCACTCTCCAACGCTCTCCTCCAATCCACGTGGGAGACTTAACTCGGCTATCTACAAGAATGCAAGGAGAATTGACTCGGCCAGCTTGTACGACATTTACAAAGAAGTTTAAATCCTCAGGCAGCAGCAGAAACAACACGCGAACTGTTCGAGGACCATTGTGGACGATGAATGCGAGGAAAACGAATTCATTGGAAGAAGTGCTGGGATGGATCCGCACAATGGATGTGATGACGGGTGACATGAAATAAACAATAAAAACAAACATATGTGAGCGGATCTAGCCAGAATCGGTTATTAGTTCTGAGAAGCAGGTGTACTGGTTTTCCATCTTCTCTACGCTTAAATGATTTGGAGCAACCACCGACTGAAAGGCTTTTTCGGCAAAGATAGAAAGCTTTACATGGTGAGTACGATGCTCTTTGCGCTCTTCATTCCAGCAAAGCTCATTTAAGAACGAAACGGTGTTTTACTATGAACTAGTGGATACAACAGATAATTAACGAGGTCAGCAGTAATTCTTCGTATTTTTGTTGAGCAAACGCGAGGTGTTATTATTCTTTATTCACAAATGAGCTGACGTTTCGGCGGA